AAAAAAAAAAAAAAAAACACACAAAAAACTGCATGGCACCCCACTGCTTACAAAAGTAAGTCTTAATCCTTCTGTCTGGGTTTCAAGGTCCTTCACAGTCGGGCCCAACCCACCTTCTAGCTGGGCCTCCATTGCTCTTCTACATAGGGTCTCATTCTTCTAGACTCTGGCTTACATACCCATGCGTGCTCCAGCATCAGAGCCCCTCAGAGCCCGGCCCAAAGTGGGTGCTCAACTGATGCCAGTGAATGAATGTGGAATAAATGAATGGGTGGACAGTCCTGAGTCATCCTAACAGAAGATCTGTAATCTATGCATAAGGATTTGATAGGACGCATAACTCCACTTTCACGGAGTGACGCTCACTTTGGAGGGCTTCTGAGCCAAAAGAAAAAGAGCTGCTTACCCGGGGAAAGATGGCAGCCAGTGAACAGATCGTCAGGACCAGTAGCAGAAGTTCCCCAATCACAAACGTCACGTAGTTTGTCATTAGCCTGTAACAGGGAGAAGGCATTGCTAATCCAGTGCCTGGTTCTTGGTCCCCTCTCACCCTTAGAAATATCACCCTGTCAGTGAGGCCTGCTCTGAGCATCCTATATAAGAAGGCAAACAAACCAAAATCCAGCTCACCACCACTGTCCCCATCTCTTCCCCACCTGCTTGTACCGGCAGCACTTATCCCTGTCTGCGTACATCTTTTGATTACTTGTTTATATTTATCTTCCCCTTCTAGGGTGTAAGTTCCACTAGGGCAGGGATATTTGTATGTTGCATTCACTGCTACATCCCCAGACCTTAGCCCCAGGCACCAAGTAGACTGTCAGTACTTGGGAAGGGAATGAGTGTGAGCCTCACCACAACCCTGAGGGTTAGCTAGGGCAGGTACTGTTACCCTCAGATTTTCCTCAGCAGCAGCTTTGGCTTTACAGATGAGTAAACTGATGCCCCAGGAGCCCTTAATGATATGCCCACGGGCACACAGCAAATGGTAAAGTGTGTCAGGAGCCTAGGGCCGTGTGACCGAGTCCTAGGTTCTTCAGGAGTGAGCTGCTGATTGGCTCTGGGATGGAGCCCAGGATGGGGTCCGGGGCACGGGCCCTGTGTTCCCTGGGCCTGAGGTCTGCTGGGGCTGTTCCAGTTGGGGGCAAGGAACAGAGAAGGTCTGCGCCCCCACGTCAGGCTCCAGCTGGGGCGCCCACGCCCCTGGGGCCCTCCCCCGCCCATGGGCCCTGCAGCGCCCCTGCCTCACCAGGGGTCGATGAGAATCTCCACCAAGGCGCTGCAGAGCAGGACGACGCAGGAGCAGCTGAAGGCGGCCCCGCTCTGCTTTTCCTTCTCCACCGAGTAGCGGGTCTCCATCTCGGGGTCCATGAACCGCATGGACAGGAGGAAGGTGTTCCTCTCCTTCACTCTGTGCAGAAACAAGCCAGTGAGACACGAGTGCCCCGGGCCTCGGCCTGCCGGAAGGGGCAGTCAGAGTGACCGACGTCCCAAGCCCGGGTCCGGGCCCAACGGGGCACATGCTGCCCAGCACTGGGCCAGGACGTGCAGGCCACTTACACCTGGGCCGACTCCCGCTCGAGCAGGGCCTCGTTGAGCAGCTGGTTGAGCTCGTGCTCGTCCTCAGAGGCGTCCACCACTCGGTCAGCCAGGTCCTGAAGCCGCAGCCTCCGGCGAGGGTTGGGGAAGGAGGGGTTGTCAGCCTACAGGGGGTGCGGCAGAGTTGGGCAGGTGGGATGGGGTTGGAGAGGGACGTGGGGTTGGGGGTGTGACACTCTCGAGGATTCACCCCTTGGCTCTAGAAATCACTTTCCAGGAAGACTTCCCAGTGGGACCACACAGCTCCCTCCTGCTTGGGTCTGAACCCAGAGCCACTGTCCTTCCTGGTTTCCGTGGGACACTGGGTCCCAGGCCCTGTGGCCCCTCAGAAACTCTGCAGTGGTTCCCACTAATGGCAGCATCGTAGAGGAGCGGCTGCCTGGCTCCTGAGCAGGAGAGCTAGGATTTGAGACCACTGCTGGTCACACAGTCTGGCACATCCTGCTATGAGGATGGGGGTGTCACTGCCATACACATCAGCATCCTCGGGGGCATGAGTGACCTCCAATCCTGGGGCTTCATGGAGGTCTTGAAGGAGCTTCATTTTGGGAAGGAAGCGATGGGAGAGAAGGGAATGCCTTTGTCCCTAGTGGGGTGGTGGACTGGGGTACCCACTGCCATTTTTATTCCCAGTCACAAAGGAAAAGCATCAACTCCAAAAATATGAAGCCAGACCGTGATTATGCAGCCGTCACTCCAAATAAGAATCAAGACTAGGCCCCTCGGAGCGTCTGTATGGACCCCAGAGTGCATCTGGAAGCCACAACCAAGACACCCTGGTCTCAAGATCAGGGGCCACTGGCTGGCAGTCTGACCCCATGTAATTCACCTTCCCCAGCCCCAATTTTCTTCTCTGCAAACTGAAGCGGATGGTCTGTCCCAGTACCAAGGGCCTCTGAGGCACATCCCGGAGCACTGTGACACTGGCTCATGACAACACCAAAAGTCACAGGCTGCTAAGTCTGTGTCCTTGTTAGGGAGTTACAGAGAGTTTGTATTTCCACTTTCCAGCAAGAAAATCACAGCAGAGAACAGTGACTGAACGTTGTGGGTCGCAAAAAAAACCAAAAAACCGTTTCCTGTCAGCCCTGTCTCCTTTGTTCTCCGGCACCTGACTCAAGGCACCAGGGGCAGCTCTGTCCCTCACAGTGAGTGACAGGCCGTGCCACCCACCAGCTCACAGCAGCCCAGGCAAGGCAGACTCCTGTCTCCGAGCAGTCGCCCTAACCAGTGACTACACCCAGGAAGCTCAGTAATGGCCAGATCCTGGCTGCTCTCCCAGGACGGACCCTATCCTATCCTCGGGGACACAGCATGTTAATTCCTTTAGAAATTTGCATCTGGGCCTGGGAACTGGAGTCTGGACCTAGCCAGAGAGGTGAGTTCAACCTTGAAGTCTCACTTCCAAAACATTCTTGGAAACTGTAGGATTTTCCATGGATGTCCTCATCTACAGGACTCTAGGGCATCAGAGCTGGGCAAGCCCTCACAGGTGAGCCTCTTTTGACATTACCTACCCCCACCCCATATAAATGACGAGGAGACATGGGGCTAGGGTGTGGGGGGAGGTGACTACTAGAGTTATACTGCTAAAAAGGAGCAGAGCCCAGGCTGGTGGCCAGCTCTCCCCGTCTGAGCACAGGACTCATCCTGCGGCAACCTTCGCCTCCCCTGCATGTACGTACCTGGGCATCCTGCTCCTCGGGCTCCTCTGACGTGGAGCCACTGGTGTGGACACTCCCATTGGGCTCCTTGGTCTCGATGAGGGCAGGGGAGCTGGGCTTTGAGGATGCTGGCGCTCCGTTTGGCAGAGCCTGCGGTGGGAAGCAGCGGCCATCAGGGACCCCAGACACTGCCAGCTGCGCATCCATCCTGTGGTCATCTACTTTGCATCTGGAATCTCCTCACTAGCATTTAGAAGCCTTGTAGACTTAGAAATTTCCCTATTCAATTCCTCCCTTAGAACATTAGTTTTTAAATGCTGTAATTCTGTAGTATTAATTTCTACTATTAAAACTTGTGCCAGTATTCCCATTCCTATTTCTAAAACTATCTTAATGATGGTGATTCACAGAGTCTTTTCTGGTGTAGAGCCCTGTTGAATAAGTATTAACTGAGTACCTACTATGTGACAGGAGCTGATCTAATTCCTGGGAAAATGCCCTGACCTTGATAACTCCCATTCCAGGGAGGAAAGGCAGTCAACAGCAAAATCGGTCAAGTTGTCACACTAGGTAAGGAGAGAAAAAGTGCTCTGGAGGAGAAAGTCAGAAAGGAGATACAGGGATTGTTAGGGAGTGACTATAAAGGGGACATCTAGGGAGGTGTCACTGTGAAGATGACATTTCAGTAAAGACCTGAAGGAACAAGTTGTGCAGCCATCCGGGGATGCAGGTTCCTGGAAGAGGGAGCAGCTGGTGCAAAGGCCCTGGAGCAGGCGTGTACCTGGAGGAGCTGAGCAACAGCCCGAGGCCAGTGCTGCAGAGCAGTGAGTGAGAGGGGGACAGGGCAGCAAGGGCCTGACTCCAGCGGGGCTTCCTGACCTCCGAAGGACTTCGGCTGTTCCTCTGGGATGGGAGACCAGTGGAGGGTTGAGCAGCAGAGTGACATAATTTCACTTAACATTTTAGCAGAATCACTTTGCTGTGTTGAGAAACAAAATGGGGTAGGGGGCAAGGACAGGAGGAGAGTGACTGGTTCGGATACTACTGCAGCAGTCCTACAAGAGATGACAGTGGATGGTAGCTGGAGGCTGTGAGAGGTGGGCAGTTAGAGTTCCATCTTGCAAGAAATGCCAACAGAACTTGTTCGTGGATGGTAAAGAGAGGGGTCAAGGAGATCTTCAAAGCTTCTGGGAGAGATTTCTTAAATGGAATCGTGTTTGCTCCTGTGACTCCCAGAGAAGCCACACTCATCACTTTCCTCCTTCCTCCTGTCACCCTCCCGGTATCGTTCAACAGGATCACTTCTGACCCTGACTACAGAGCAGGCTCGGAGATCTGGGGGCATTGCCTCATCCAAGTCCCTGGTGAGTTGACTTCCTAACAACTGTGAAGCTAATCCCATGAGTTCACAGTCCTGCTGGGCTGTTTCCTGCCTCACACACGCTGGGAGTGACAGCTGCTGCGCAGCCTTGGAGTGAAGGCCACCCGTCACCCCCAGCAGCTAAACTCCGTTCCCTGAGAGGAGTGTGTGACGGTGCTGGCAGGTGGGGATGCCTGATAAAGTATTTGATGAATGTCATAAGGCAACAGGTTCATTTCGCTCATAAACAAAGAGCTCCTAGAAGTCGGAGGGAGAACCCTCAAAGGCAGATATGAATATGCGATTCTCTGAAAATCACCTGGCTGACAAGCACATTAAAAGTGTCCCGCCTTATGAATAGTAAAGATGTGAGATTAAAACAGTGGAATAGCATGGCATCATCTTTCACGTGAAGAGCCTAGCCAGGGCCTGGGAGGGTGGCAAGGTAAGGAGGGGCACCGCCTCCCTGCACCCGCCCTCTGCTCCATGCTCTCTCCCTGGGCACCCACATCACTCCCATGGCTCCAACTGCTTCCTCCCTGCAGGGACCCTTAGGGCAACCAGCCGCTCCTGAGCACCACTCACACTCCCAGTGGCAGGACACAGTACTGTCGCCTTTTTCACTCACCATAAGTGACAGGTAGCATCTACCCCAGAAACCAGCCTGCCCTCTGAAAGGCCTCTAGTCACCTGCTCAGCAGGACTCAGTGTCACTCTGACGCCAACCTGCACCTCAGGGCTCACATTCCATCTTCCAGTCCTGCCGGCTCCTCTGCAACCTCTCCATTAATCCCCTCCCTTCCATCCCCTAGTCCAGGCGGCGGGTGGGGGACTCACCGAGCCGTTGAGGCCATTTTGGGTGGCAGTTTTCTTCACCTCCGGCTTGGACGCAATGATGAGGTAGGTTTCGATGCCCTTCTCCTCTAGGTAATCACAGCGGCTGCCCCCGTCACCGGGCTCCACGTCGAACTCTCCTCTCAGGCAGTCCAGGGTGCTCTGGGAGATGTGCACGCGCCTGCGGTGCAGCAGAGAGGCCTGAGCACGGGCCGGGGCGCCCTCCCTGCCCCCGACAGCCACGGCCCAGGCTGCATCTCAGGGCCCAGGACAGAGGGCCACCCGGAGCAGAGACGAAGTCCCGTGTGGGCAGTGTGGCACCTGCCCCCGTCTCAGCCTCAGTGTTAAACCCCAAGACAGGAGTAAATTTGTCCTCACAGGCTGCCGAGAGTATCAGATGAGAAAAGGAAATTCAGAAGTCTGCTCTGACCTTAAAGTCATAAGGTCCGATTATTACCCGCCTTGCAGGATCCTTAGTTGCAGCACCTGCTTTCAGGGGACAATGGACCCATTTCTGGGGAGTCACCACTAAGGGAGAGGCTTGTGGCTGCCTTTAAGGTAGCCCCCTGACCCAGGGGGGCAGGTTTCACCACGTCCTTCGCTGCCCACCCTGAGGCAGGCCCTGGCCTGGCCAATTCTGCAGCAGCTCCGGTGAGATGAGCAGGCGCACTAGCTGCAATCGCTGCTACCGAGCCGGCTGCTGATCATCACTAGAATAATACTGACGCAGCTACAGCTGTGAGCACGTCGGGGCCCAGGCAGCCCCCCACGTGGGCAAAGGGAGCGAGGAGACAGCTGGAGAGGTCCAGGCACGAGAGGCCACAGCCAACCTCAGCCCAAGGAGGCGGGCGCCCCGAGGAGGAACGCTGCTGCTGGTGGTCCCCCGTCCAGGCCGCAGACCTGAGGGATGGATGTCCCCTCCCGGACCCTCGTGCCTGCCCACTGGGAAGGGCCACTCACCCGGGGATGCCGCCAGCCTCCATCTTGTTGGCCACAGTGACGTCAGTAGACCACACATCATACTGCCAGCGCTTCTGGCCCAGGACACCCCCCAGCACCGTGCCCGTGTGCACCCCCACACGCATGTCCACCCCGGTCTTTGTCTTCTCCCGAACATACCTGCCAGGTGCACAGAAAGGAGCAGGGGTCGGGCATGCCCGCAGCCAGGTGCCAGCCCCTCGCTGCCGGAGGAATCCACACAGGCTTTTTCCTCTCTGGGCCAAGGCGCCAGCTGAGTGCCCCCCGCTTTCCGCCTGCCTGTGAGCTGAGCACACGGCCTGCCCAGCCCTCCTCCCCTGAGGGGCCTCCAGGTGCTCTCCTAATCACCCGTTTCTTCGTGCAGGCGCTGTTTCACCAAGCAGCTGGGTGTGCCAGGCACTGTGCCAGGCAAGGCATGTGCGAGGGGTGCAGCTCCCGACTGAGAACCCCAGGAAGAGTTCAGAACTCTGCCTGGCTGTGAGGGGAGTCGGAGGGAGTTTCCAATCCTGAACTACCGCCCCTGGGGGAAACGTGGCATTCGCTTCCAGGCCAGTACTGGAGGGAGCGCCCACCAGCGGCCTTGAGGGGACAGGAGGGACCACCCCGGCCATGAGGAAGAGTGAGGGGAGGCAGAGTTCGCCATTCTCACAGCTCAAGGGGGTGGCGGTAGGAGCCTTGTCTGGGAGCTCAGAGGCCAGGGTCCCATCCTATCTGCTGCCCCAGACATCTGGTGGCCTCAGCAGCCACTTTGCTGTTGTGACTTTCTAATCTGGGAGAGGGGCATCCCTAGGCCAGTCTGCCTTGGAGGGCTATGGTGAGAAAACACAGAGAGGAGATGGGGGCCTCGGCAGAAATATCCAGCAACTAAGGGGGTATGAATTTCATTACAACTGCAGCTTCCAGGAAAGAAAGACTGGACTTAAGCTAGAAAAGCACCTCTCGGAGGCTGTGGAGGCCTTATCATTTCCCTGAGCTGTCAGCAAGGTAGGTCACAACCCACTTCCCAGAGCTGGGGACCAAGCGACCTGCCCACCAAATCTACATCCTGCATAACATCGCCACACCCTGACAGACCCCTCGAAGGGCCTGGGGGGTCCTGGGCCACTACGGCCAACCTGCACAGGCCTGCCCCTCCCCCACAGAGACACCCACTTACGAGATGGCCTCCACCATGGCGAGCCCCATGAGGATGGAGCAGACGGCGTGGTCCTCCCGGTAGTCAGGCAGGCCGCAGATGCAGTAGTAGCAGTCGCCCAGGATCTTAATCCGCAGCTGGTGGTATTTCTGAAAGGGCAGGGCATGGGCTATGACCTGGAGCTCCCCCTCTGCGGGGAGGAGTGACAAATCAGAGGAGGGATGGAGGAGGAATCCCCGGAGCCGGGCTCCGGCCACGGGGGTACTCACGGCCGCCAGCTTGTCGAAGCGGGCGAAGAGCTCATTGAGCAGCTTCACGAGCTCCTGGGCGCTGCAGGTAGAAGACAGCTGGGTGAAGCCCACGATGTCTGCGAAGAGGATGCTGCAGGGAGGGGGGCACCGGTGGTGAGGCTCAGCTGGCGCCACCGCCAGCTCCTGCTCCCAGCCCACGGCAGCCAGGGTCATGGGGGGGAGCAGGTCCTTGCTCAGGCCCCAAAGCAGTAAGACCCTGGCACTTTGAGGGTGAATCTGGGGCTCTGACATTTAGCTTTGCCTTGTGGACTGCCCTCCACAGGACCCCCCTCCCCACCCTGCCTCGCTCCTGCCCCCGCGCTGGCCCTGAATGGCGGGGCAGCCTCACGGATGTCACTTCCCTGCTCTGGGTAATGTTGGTACAGCGGGGCTGGGCCACGCAGCCCAAAGCCCAGCTCGGCCCCAACGCCCACCGGCAAGGCTGCTCCGCGTGGGGCTCACACTGCAGGGACAGCCTCGCTTCTAGTCCGGGGAGGCCCTGCGCTCCACAGGGCTCCTGACCCTCAGCCCCGGGCCGCGCACCTGACGTTCTCGTGGCGGTACATGTACATGGTGTTGAACTGCTGCTGGTCCTTCTGGCTCTCGTCCTTCTTCATGTCCTTCAGCATCTCGTCGGCCACGTGCTTGGGCAGGATGGACAGCATAAGGTTCTCCTGTGGGAGGACAGGGTGCGTGGGGACCACGGCATCTGACCTGTGCTCTTCTAGGAGCAGGTCCAGACACTTTGGGGAAGAAACACCCTGATCCTGGCAACAGATGTCAGCCAGGAGCCAGCTGCCCCCAGAGGCGTCAGAGCACAGACCCTGCACTGGGAAGCAGCCAAAGGCCCGGGACAGGCAGCTCTTTGCACTGAGCAGGCTCAGGACTGTGGCCCGAGCACCTTCAAGAGTTCTGATGGGGGTCAGGAGCCCAGAAGAAATCCAAGCTTGGCTCCATGCCCCCGAGGCTTCCTCCGTGCCCAGGAGGCAACAGGTCTTATGTGGGCCCCGCTCTACTCTGCCCCTGCACTATGCACCCTCGAGTGCAGGGCCTGGTGCAGGAGAACCAAGGTGTGGAGGCTCTACTCCCCTCCTCTGGGTGGGCAGCCAAGAGACCCCCAAGGATCTGGTGTTGAACCCAGGACCCCCATTCCCTCTACCAGCCAGAGAGCTGGGCCTCAGCTCCCCTGACAGAAGACAGCTCTGCTGTAGGGCAGCCCTCCCCATTCCCCCAGGACCGTCTGCAGGCCAGAGCTCCCCACCTGCTCACCGCTGCACCACAGGAGGGTCCCCATCTCCCATCTTGGTTCATGGGGAAAATCAATTCTCTTTCTTACAGTAAATTATGTGGTTATAACGAGGCAGGTCCCCTCTCTGCCCAGCCTGAAGCACGTACGGTGGTTATTACTATGATTCTCCCATTTCCACAGTCCCAATTTCCCTGAAAACAAGCCAGGCCTCAGGGGTGGCCCCCACTACCTTCCCCCAGCATGGCCTGGGCTCCAGGACTGTCAGCTAGGGCGGGATGAAGGCGGGAGCAGAAGCGTTCAGTGCAGCCCGAGGCCGAAAACACGGCCCGAGATCCACGGGGGTGGATGTCGGGAACTGTCACTTTCTGCATTACACGTTAATCCCATACCTTTTCCCAAGAGCATAAACAAACTGAAAGTATAAAGCCATTAGAATAACAAGAAAGAAGCTGTGGTTGTAAATTAAGGCTACCAGGTGACTCAAACCCTACGTCAACCTCAAAACGCTAAGCAGACAGCGTCCCCCTGCAGTCATTCTGATGAAACGGGCTTTAAACAAGGAGTCCACAGAAGGAAGGAAAAACGTGACAGATGAGAAAGGAGCAAAACGGACAGCTGCCAAGGGACTCGACAGAAAAGAACATTCTAGTAGGCGGAGGTCAAAGGGAAGAAAGTGGCCAGGTGGGCAGTGAAGGAGGGGTACCCCCCGCCCCCCGCCAGCAGCCCTCCAGGGCTTTTGTCACAGCCAGACCCTGCTCCTCCTCGCCACCTTCCTCATGGCTCTGAACTTCCTGAGCTGCGTCACACCTGTGACCCCGGAGGGTGGCGCTCTGCCCGCCACACTTCTCAGAGCACCCGAGGCCCCGACCAGCCCGCCGTTCTGGTCCCATTCCCCCTGCTCTCCCCCGGGGCCCCTCCAGGGTAGAAGCCCGTCCTTCCCACTCCACCCACGCCCCTCAGCCACCTCGCCTGCCACCCCGGCCCTGCCAGGTGTGCTCATCCCCCTTCCTCCCCACCTCACCTACACCCAATATTTTGGTGTCTATACTGGCGCTGACATCGTCTGTCCTTAAATTTCAGAGATTCTGAACTCTTTCCTGGATCCCTTTTAGGGGTGTGTGGTGTGAGCTACAGTTGTTCTAGAAAAACACTCATCCACATGTAGAGGGTCCCTGACATCCACCCTCGGCGTCCAGGTTAAAGGCCCCACACCCCAGTGTTCTTGGAGGAGGAAGGAGCCTGGGGTCCAGGCGCTCTTGTCCGGTGGGTCCCACGGGTGGAGGGCAGAGGGGCCACCAGGGTAGCCTCAGCCTCGCAGGGGCCCAGCGCTGAGCGATGTGGCTGGCTCTCCCCACCACCGAGGCAGAGCTGCTCTTTCTAAAATAGCAATTGCTGTATGTTTCGGGAGTCTTAAGAATGTTCCAAGCCTCCGACCCATTAATGACTCTTCAGGGAATTTATCCAGCGAAAATAATCCAAAAGAAGTAAAATAATACATGTGCAAGAGGAAGTTCATTGCAGCATCACTTACACTTGTGGGAAAAACGGCAAGCGGCCCAAACGCCCAGCAAGTGCTTAAATTGTGACGGGTCCTTCGGATGGAAGATTATGCCACTTAACGCTGATCTTGATAAAAACTTAGCAACAAGAAAACAAGCGAGAAGAGCAGGACGCAGGGCTGCATCCTGTGAAGGGGACGCGGGTGTACGTGCATCTAACTGAAGGCGGGAGGCCGGTGCAAGAGGGAGAAGACTCCTTTAACTGGGGGATGGAACTGAGAAAACTTTAAATGTTTTTCAAAATACTACATGGTTGTTATGCTGCTGCTGCTTTTTTAAAATATTTTCAAAGCTGGAAATAAACACAGAACTTCCTGTTGCCTCCAGCGTGACCCTGACCATAGCTTGCCTACGACAACCAGTTTTCTTAGGAGGGGGAGATCCTTGCGAGGGGTAACCGTCGGAACCTCTGAGTCCCGAAAATCAACTACAAGAGGACAGAATGGGAGAGGCATCGTGTGTCAAGGCTGGGAACAAAACAGTCTAATAACCATTTAAGATGCTATTAGATTTTAAATAAACTCACAGCGTAAATGGCACCTAAGCAAGCCCCCTGGTCTTTAACAGAAGTCAAGGGTCTTGAATAAGGAGGTGGCAGGCCCTCTGGGTGCCCCCCCACAAGGAACAGACCACCCAGGCCTTCGACAGGGACTGGCCATGAGGTGAGGAGCCTGAGGCCGGGCCCTGAGGGTGGGCTGAGCGGCTGGGCACCAGCCCGGAGAAGCATC